TCACGAATATTTTACTTCATCAATATAAGTAATATGTTATATAAACTTATGAAGCTTAGCCATTTCAGAAATCACCAACCAAACAATTAGCCCATTCCATACACAAATCGTTGCGTTGTGTACCAGTGCCTAATCGTTCCACACATCCAATATTCCCAGAACGCCCAGAACGTCCTCTTGATCTCGCCAATATTTTGCCAATAACTCCGACAACATCTAGAAGACGACTTTCAGAAGGTTTAAAAGATTGGACAAGTCAAATTTTGCCCGGACAATATCCGGTAGCTAACGGTTCCAATATGGATGACGAGCACAAATTAATCGCACGTTATTCGGCTAAACTTTCCGGTCGAACACAGGTAGAACATAATTCATTTAATAATTGGTACAGTTAGTGAACCAAACTCTGAAAGCTGTCACAAATAGTACCATTTAGTGCTTCTCCTTAATGAAAAAATTAGCCATTCATGTTTCTTTACTTTTCATTTTTGGGACTTTTTAATTGCTTAGTTGTGTTAATTAATGTCTGGTTTGAAAAAAAAAAAAACTACGTTTAAGTATCCATTCGTGTTGCCGAAAGATCGAACAACCAGCATGGATGAAAATCTCAGTGAGAAAACATTAATTGCACGACTTGAAGAAGAAAATGGTGAGATGATGCGAGAAATGGAAATGTTGAAGCAACAACAAGTAATATTGTTTTCTTTTTTTTCATATATGAAATAAAAATTACAAAGATGAGAAGGGAACAAAGGTAACAAAGGTAGGATATTGACGAAATATGAATTTATACATCATAACATTTTCAATTTATTGTTTAGAAATATATAAAAAATATTTCAAAACTTAATACAATTTCCCAACTTATTAGTTTTAGTTTTTTTTAGGAATTAGAAAATACGGATGAACAGCTAAGTGGTTTACGTGAACGAAAAGCTCAGCTTGAGGAGAAAATGCGTGTTATGCAACAAACACGAAGGCAACTAATGCAACAATTAGAAGTGCTTATGTCAGAACTAAATGTAAGATATTTGTTTCCGTATAGCTTATGCTTGAATTTATATAGATTAAAGTAGGTTCTCTTCGAGGGTAGAGATCATAAAATAGTCTTATTCCTGTCCATGGTAGTCTAAGGCACATCAGTAACACTTATTGTTTTGTGAAATCTACTGATAAGACTATCATTCACTCATCAAAACGTCTTCATAACAAAAAGTGATCTTATTTTTCAAGTGCGATTAGTTGCTCTTCTCTTTTTTGCAGCGATCAAAAGGTGGAAGTATGAGTGCTATACCGGAATCATTGACCGGTATTGGAAGCCGTGTTTCAACCGCATTCCGGGATCGCGCAATACAAAGAGCTAGTTCAGTACCTGCTGCTCAGTTACAAGGTGATCTGCTTCATGCAGCTGATGATATAACAAACAATATGAGTACATTGCTCAAGGAACTTGGTCAAGGTTTGAATTTTCGAAGTCCATTTCCTTTCTTTGTTAATCGATTGAATTACGTACTAATCGAATATTACAAAGATTGCGTAAATCTCCCTGATTTGTTCAACCAAGCTTTTATTTTCTGGATGATCTTTCTCTAACATTTTCCTGCTTAGGAAAATGGTCGTAATCTCTCTTAGTGACACGCTTGTGCTATCAAACATTTAACCTTATCTTTACTTCTTATTTAAATTTTATTTTATTCCTTACAAATTTCTCTGTTATTTATTACTTGGAAATAAATTCTATTTTTCGGTGACAGTAAACTAATATATTAATTCCATCGTTGCAACAAATTCATGAAATATTTTTCAGCTCAAAAAGAAGTTGTAAATGGTGCTGATGGAACAGAAAGCAGTTAGGTATCGATTTTATTAAAACGTGAATGTGGAATGCAATAGGACAGTCTATTTACTGGTGAAGAATTTTTATCTGTCATGGGTTGTTTGATATTTGTTCATCAAAATCTGTTTAAATGTCGTATAATCTTTCTGGATCATTCTCTGTCTGCACGCACTACTAATTCTATACTACAAATATGTCTAGGCATTTTAAATGCCGAACTTTCATTTCTTATTTCATTTATTTATTTACATTTTTTGCTAAATTTTATTTTTTTAATTAATTATAACTATTTGAGTTGTTCCAGAATTTCTCATTTTCAAAAATCTTAATATTCAAATTAAATTCACATTAAATAAATATGGTTCAACATGCACCGCATGAGGTATGAGAGCAGGGAAGATAACTGTAAAATTTGTTGTCAAAATAATTAATTAATCAACGTTTATGGGATCAAATAATTGTCGTCTTCGAAAGTTACGATAATTTTTTTAAGATTTCTGATGTGGAGATTTAGAAAAGCTTCCTTGACTAAAATTTATAAAAACAAAAAAAAATATTCTGTGCAGTGCAGACTGAGAATGCACCGGCTGTTTTCAGCTACCATGTCTACCTCTCTGCGAATTCGTTTCTTCATCTATTTCAGTTAATTTCGATCAACTGTTTATTACATTGCTTTTCATCGAGGATACTATATCTACCGTTGAATGTAGCGTTTGTGTATGACCATCAAATTATCGTGCCAAGTTGATAGTGCCAACTTATTATGGCAAATAAATCTATTAATAACCGAGAATTAGCATCGAATGGAAGATTGAAAAGATTTGATAAAGGAATGGTCTAAACCTTGACATATGCAAAAAATATACCGCTCTTTTCATTTTTTGATTCTGTTGAATAGTCATTAATTACAGGATCGTAATGAGATAGTCTGGTTGAATTTACGAGATATGATATTATCATTGTTATATCGAAGCATCTATCCAAAAAATTCTGATTTAAGAATATCAAATGTTATTTATTTTAAAATGTCATCCGATGTCCTTTTTTTTGTCTACCGATCACCGGTCAGATTTATGTCCAATATCTAATCTTAGAAAGAGATGATTTTATTTACATTATAATTGCTCTCTTATAAATTGTGCTTTCTCTGCATTAATCGCAAGTTTTTCTTCACCTCTTCTCCTCCCCATTTGTTTTTATCAATGAAAAAAGTTTTGAAGAACTATAAATTTCTATTGTTATATTCATATTCTATTCATTTCTGAATCGGTGCATTTTAATTAATATTAAAGATATATTGTTTTTTTTTTTCGCTGGCGGCCTCATCTTTCTCGCTGTTATATATTTTATAGATTTTATAAATATATCCTCAATAAATTCATAGATTTTTCTTTTTTTCTTTAGATTTTTTCAACTAACTATTGATTCTAGAATATATTTCTTATTCATATTGGCTCGAATTAAATGAACATACATCATGCAATAAGATTTCGTCTGGAACTTTCAAATGACAAGGATAATTATTCAAACTTTCACATTTGCCAGAAATTTAAAAGAATGTGAGGAAGTGAAACAAAAAAAGATTGTAAGATGATGGGATCAGTGTAAATAGCCGTTTTAAATTTGAAATATTCAAACCAGAAGAAAAATTGATTCTGTTAAAATTAAAACAGCGCCGCTAATGTTTTAAATATCAACTTTCCTCCAATGCTAACCTTTGAGTACCATCACAATCCTTATCAACCCTGAAAGTTATATAAGGCATCAATTCTTATTACTCTTAAATGCTACATTACACATATCACAAATCACAATTTTTATATTATCATTTATATAATTTGAAATTTTCACTGGGAATAAACATTATTCATCTAAAATGTTATGAACGATGGAGCATTGAATGCGCAATAATAATTTCAAACTATCCTTTATATTATTTTATTTTTTCGACATATTACACAAATTATTCACATCTTTTTTTCGCTTTAATTCACAACGAATTATTTGTTTTGCAATGAAGTGTTCAAGTGATATAAAATTAGTGACTTATTATTTACCTGATAAGGTAGAACAAGTTCAGCGCACTTGTCACGCAATTTCGATTTCATCGTAGTTTCATCCACGTGATTATCATAAGTTTTTTTGTTTTCTTACTGAGTTTCATTATGCTCGTTAATTTTGTAAATATCAACATCAACATAATTCGCAGGTAAATAATTTCATATCATTTCATTTTTTAATTGCATTAAATTCGATAAAAGTCAATTTAGCATTTTTATCTTTACTTAAAATACAAAGCTGCATTTTTCTCTGTCTTTCTTTTTTTATATTAAAACAGATTTACATTAAAAAATTAAATATACTTTGATAAATTTGGTTTCAACTTCACCATTACTTTCGTTCGAGCTGAAAAAAAACTTCGTTTAAATTATAACAGTGACTAAATTTAGCTCACTTCAACTAAACTTATATTCCCAAACTTAATCCATAGAACAAATCAAACTTCATTAAAACTAAGCGTAATTGGATATAGATAAACCCTGCGAACTACTCTCCAGTGCGAATTATATAAGTAGTCGCATAGGAATATTTTGAACCCTCGCGCGAATTTCGAACTCTTTAAGTAAATTTCGATCTTTCCTCTTTCACCGTCCTCTGGTTGTTTCTGGCAATGGGACTTTAGAATGTGTCTGGTTGTTTCTGCTAATGGAACTTCAAAATGTTTCTGGTTGTTTCTGGCAATGGAACTTCAAAATGTAGTTTTGCATGGGATGATGAGTGGTACAGTTTGACTGGTGAAGAAAGTATTAACGTTAATATGTGCAACTTGAAAAGCACAGAAATTCAGGATAGCATCACGGTTGAAGAGATTGATGGAAATAGAATATGTCAAGGAACTAGAGTGTTTGATAAGGTATCGTAGATTGAGGAAGTACTGTGTTTAGATTTATTTACTGATTATATTTGGTCTGAAAGCAGTAAAATTTGAATTTATTTCGTTTCCTGATTTTCATCATTCTTAGATCTTACAGAATTATTCAAATCTCTGTTTGTAGCCGTTATTTTTTGCATGGTCATGTGGAAAAGACGAGTCCGGAGAATTGATTAATGTTATATTCATAATTAATACTGTAGAATGTGTGCAATACTATAATAATAGAGAATGGCACTTACGATTGGTAAACGTACAGGACGACCAACATCATCATCGATAAAAGCAAAACGGAACAGGTAAGATCTGTTTGAATTTCGCCGAATTAAAAATGATAAATATGTAGAAAAAAAAAAACTCATGCATTCATTTTAACGCATCTTGTAGTAATGTTACATACACTGATAATCTTACTGTATAAAAATTACAGTGTTTGATTTAATTCATTTTATGATTGAGTTTTCTAATCGCTTCAATCATCTATTTCTTTAAAGGATTAATATGTAGAAATATCTTTCCGGTTATATGAAGTCATTCACATATTTTACCCTTTGTTGGTTGTATTATACATAAGAATACGTTGTCAACAAAATACTTGTAAATGAAATAGCTTTTTAAATATTGCCGGTGAAAGCATGTTATCAAGTTATCCGCGCCACTCTCTGTTTAACCGTAACAGTATTCTGATGCTTTTTATAACCTCGTTTTATCACTTATATTTGGAATTAATTGAATTGCAGAGCTGCTGAGGATAAACCATCAGTTTTCGTAACACAGTTGGCAACACTAGCACCGTCAGATGATGACTCAATAAGAACTACATTTAATCAATTTGAATCAAGTTAGTTTTCTTTTAATTGAAAATATCCAGCGGAAATGAATCTATAGATATTTAATTGAAAGTGTCTTACGAGTTCGAGCTGTAACCAAGTGGTTGATGTAGAGTGTGAAATGTAGAAATTTTACTTGTTACTTTAACTGTCTTGCTGCAGCATTATTCCACATATAATAGGAATTTGTTCATATGCAAAATGGGATATTCATTTGAATCTTTATATTATTTCCAATTTAGATCATATTTGGGCTCGTCCACCGCTCCCTGCTGAATTACATACGAATGAACCGGAAATCGATTTTCAAGTTGTTGATGTTGATTATTATATGGGTAAGTGAAAATTTTTAGGAACAAAATTGAAATCCTAACGTTAAGTTATATGTTAGAGGCTGCGAATATCGAGATCTCCTGTTCCGAAAATAATACCTCAGAATTTAAGCAGCCCATTATTGAATAATCTGAATTAGTCTAAAACTTGAATATGATTTTTGACATTAGAATTTCAGCTATAATTTAGAGTTATCAAGTATAGTTTTACCGCCAGTTTGACAATCATTTGTTAGCATTATAGTATACTCAAATGATTGCTTGCTTCATTTTCATTCCAGATAAAGAAAATAACGTTATCATTCGTTTATTCGGAGCTACTGCTGGTCAGAATTCAGTCTGTGTTCAAGTTCATGGATTTCTTCCGTATTTCTATGTATTATTGGAAAGTCCGTTTGATGAAAAGGATATAGAATATGCAAAGAAATACCTGAACGATATTATTAAGGTTAGCCACTTAAGTTTGAAGGAACTTTCATTTTTTCAGGGTCCTAATGGTACTGTAAAAGCTGCGCCATAGTTTTCGCTTTATTTTGAATTAAATAATTTCAAAGACGAGTTTCTACGAAATTGGATGTATCTTGATTCCAGGTTCAGGTTCCGGCAAATATCGGCATTCCAAAGAACATTGAGAATTTAGTCGTTGATCTCGATATTGTATACGGTGTCAGTATTTACGAGTATAGGAAGGACCTGAATCAGAAGTTTCTGAAAGTATATGTTCGTTCTCCGAAACTTTTCAATCTCTGTAAGCCATGAATTTTTGCCAGCAAAGTTTATGATAGTCAAGTTTTGCAACTTTTGATAACTCTACCTTTTTATTGTAACTTCTTCAGGGTTATTTTAAATATGATATGTTGGCAATGAATCTATATTTATTTAGGTCGACGAGTATTTACCAATGGAGTGAACTTAACGAGAGGAGGGCAAACCGAGTCATTATCATGTTTTGAAACAAATATTGATTTCGAAATTAGATTTATGACGGATCATGATTTGGTTGGTTGCGCATGGGTTACATTGCCATCGAAAAAATACCGAATTATTACGGGAAAGGAAATGATTAGTCGTTGTCAGTTTGAGGTTTATTTTTGTTCGGTTTTTTTTAAAAAACATCAAAATATCTTTTAGTCATTGTAGTAGGCTTTGGTATTTCACTGAAATTATTGTCAGGATCATTACGTATTAGTTCACGTTATTATACACTGTTGCACGGTGAATTTTACAGAGTGTTTCACGCATTGGTATACTTATTGCATTATTATAAATGATAACTTATTCCTAATAACCGATAATGTTATGCCATATTTCCGTAATATGTAACAACTATGAGATAATTATATCATTGATTTGGACTCTGCAATCTTGAGATCGCATGCCACAGAACATTCTTTCAATTTTCACAGTTATTTGAAAAATAAAGTTGCAGAATGGTTCAATTATAGTCTTAAAAGATATTTTGCAGTGTTTGATAAACAATTCAGACCTCGTTATTCATCCCCCTGAATCAGCTCCAAGGTGGTCGTCAATAGCACCATTGCGTATTCTATCGTTTGATATCGAATGCACAAATCGACAGGGTTGGAAATTTTCTCACCTCCATTTCCAAAAATTTTATGTTGACTTCTTTATTTTATAAGGATCAAATTCTATCATAAGATGGACGGAATTGCGTTTGCTACTTAAATACTCATCTTTCGGCTTTTATGTGACATATAAAATATGTTGAGCTTTGAACGCATTTCATTACTGTATTAAATTCTGTATGATTTATTACATCTCAATACATTATCAGAGAATTTTTATCCAAAAAGTTGGCTCTTGATTTTTCAAGTTTTTAGATCAAATATATTAAGTTCATGTAGTTTTTCAGGAATATTTCCGGAAGCTCAAAACGATGCTGTTATACAAATAGCTAATATGGTCAAAATTGAAGGCGAGAATGAACCGTTCATTCGGAATTGTTTTGTAATTGGTGAAACTGCTCCAGTCATTGGCAGTGAAATTATTATTTCTAAATCAGAAGAAGAATTGCTTAATGTAAGAGAAATTATCATTTAAAAATGAGCTTTAATTCACTTCTTTACTTTCTGAGTTTGTTTGGTGTACCATTATGGGAATTATTTCCAGAAATGGGCAGAATTTGTTCGTACTGTTGATCCAGATCTCATTACTGGTTACAATATTCAGAATTTTGATTTCCCATATATTGTAGAACGTGCTCGAGTACTGAAGGTTTGTTATTTTTTCTTTAATTAAAGGGCAATTTCATTTAAGAAACAATCAACTATGAGCTTGAATGATTTAGGTTGAAAATCGAGCGACGATGCTAGGACGTATCCCAAGTTCACTTTCGAAAGTTCGAGAAATGCCTTTATCTAGTAAACAAATGGGTAACAGAGCGAATAAAGTAACAAATGTCGAGGGGCGGGTCGTTTTTGATGTCTTTCAAGTAAGCTAATTTATGTTAATACAATGGTTTCATGAGCAGTGCTGCGATTAAGTACGTCGATAAATGCCAGCAATGCATGCAAATTAAGCACAACTATTCGTAACCTTTTATAATCGATGGATTTAAGTTTAAGATTTAAGATTTAAGATTAAGTTTTATGGTTTAAGATTTAAGTTTTATGGTAATTGTAAATTAATTAAGTATGTAGTGCAAAATTGTTTATTTTGTAACCAATTTTTCGTTAGTTTAGGCTTGAAATGGTCTTTACTGCGCTGCTTTTCTTTTTGGTCCTGAAACCTATTATTTTAGTTAAGTAAACAAGGAAGGGTCAAGCAAGCGCGGCCGAATTAGCTCAGTGGTAGAGCGTCTGTCTTGTAAACAGAAGGTCGCAGGTTCGATCCCTGCATTCGGCATATCCTATATTTCGTACGTATGTCTGATGAAAGTCGAATTTAGGTCGTTTTGCGGGATTACAAATTGCGAAGTTATTCATTGAACAGTGTCAGCTACCACTTTCTATGTGAGCAGAAGGAAGATGTGGACTATTCAATGATTGCCGAACTTCAGGTGAGTAGATTTACACAATCTCAGATTGTTGGGAAGTAATTAACATTCATGTCAATTCGAGAATTCTTTGGGAAGTGTGAACTTCGGCGGTGGTAGAAAATGTTGCCAAATTCAGTATTTGTAAGTTAATATTATCCATTGTCAAATGACACTCGTGGAAGAAGGAGGAGAAATATAGTGAACTTCACGTAGGCTTTGGAATTTTGGAATGTATGATCATTGGTGCTGAATTTTTTCGGAAGAATTTTCAGAATGGAAATGCCTTTACACGTCGTCGACTAGCTATCTACTGTATGAAAGATGCATATTTGCCGCTAAAGTTACTGCAGAAGTTGATGTCCGTCATTAATTATATCGAGATGGCACGTGTTACCGGTGTTCCTCTCGACTATTTACTTTCTAGAGGTCAACAGGTCAAAGTCATATCACAGATCCTGCGAAAAGTATGAATTTTAGAAAAGCATACGAAGAAATGTGCAGTATTTTTTGAATTGTCTAGAGTTATATCAAAAATTGCAGAGAGTTTTTTGCAAATTTTAGGCAAAATCGATGCATTTATTTTTGCCGGTTATTGATGTCGTGCAAGCTGACGATACTTACGAGGGTGCAACCGTAATCGATCCTATCCGAGGTTTCTACAACAGTCCAATTGCAACACTTGATTTTGCATCTCTGTATCCTTCTATTATGATTGCCCACAATTTGTGCTACACTACGTTGATTCGGGGTTCAAATGCAACGCATAAGTAAGTTATTTGAAGAAAATGAGAGGTAAATGCTTTAAAAAATATGTGGCATTGCAAATTTGTTCGCAGTAAATTGCTAGCAGTATAGTTTTTTGAAAAATTTTCAGTTTGTCGGACTCTGATTTTGAAGTTACTCCTTCAAATAATCGTTTCGTGAAGCCGCACATTCGTCGTGGCTTGTTACCTCAAGTTTTGGAGGATTTGTTGAACGCTAGGAAACAAGTAAAGATTGAACTAAAGAATGAGCAGGATTCATTTCGGTGAAAGGATTTTTCATTTATAACTTGATTTTTTTTCTCTTGATCGTAAATGAACACTGGTTAAATAGGCACTTATACTGGTATGTTTAGCCAATATAGGAAACAAAATTTTTCAAAAAATTTCTCTATCATCATATGCTTATAATTGATATCGAAGAGAGTAATAGGTATCTGGAGAGACTTTGAGAACAAGATACTTATGCCTAATGATGAGAACTAGTTGGACTCTCGGAAATGCACGCTTGAAATGATTTTTGTTACTGATTTATCAAATAATCAAATACTAAGAGCATATTGTTGCGAATTTGATTTCTTTTGCTCTCAGCGAAATGATGCTTGGTATTTGACTAATACGATTTATTAAATTTTAAAATATTGTGGAAAAAATTATTCTTTACAACTTTTTTCAGACGTATGGTATTAAACGGTAGACAGCTTGCACTGAAAATATCGGCAAATTCGGTTTACGGTTTTACAGGCGCTTCAGTTGGAAAATTACCATGTTTAGAGATCTCTCAGTCAGTAACAGCGTATGGTCGTCAGATGATTGATTTAACAAAAAATGCAGTTGAGGAAATTTACAAGAAGGGTTATTTGGATGGTAAATGTCCATGTGATGCTCAGGTAAAAAATATGTTGTGTGGAAATTATATTACTCAATAGTTCAGTAGTCCTCCCAAGCATGAATATTTAATCACAGTTTGTATTATCAGTTAATTAGCCGATCAGTGAGGCTTATAAAAATTAAGTCATATTTTTTAATATTTGAGTCGAAAGAGAATATGCTCTTTTCTGGAAAACAAAAAAGGGCTGAAATTAAAAGTCATTTTTTCATTATTTCTATCTTTCCATTGTGCATGCGGAGAAGATAGAAATGATGCAATACTTTGCTGGCTTTTTTTCCATTTCGGCTTCACCATCTCATATCTTTTCATTTTTGGTTGATTTTAGGTTATTTACGGTGATACCGACTCAGTGATGGTGAAATTCGGTGTTAAAGATGTCAAAGCAGCGATGGAACTTGGTTTGCATGCTGCTACAGAAGTTAGCAAAAAGTTCAGATTTCCAATTAAATTGGAATTTGAAAAGGTATTACATTACTGTTTGCAATTTCGGTTAATGATTGATGGAAATTATGAAGTTTTAAATTCCGAATCTTTAAATTTAAGTCTAGGGTTTCAAGTTTCGTCTTGACTTCCCAAGGTAAGTTGGAAGTAAGTTTACTTATTTTCTACTGATTTCTTTTTTAAATCTTGAGCAACTAATTAATTAGGCGGTAAAGAAGTTGCAGTAGAATTAAAGCAGCGTATTGAAATGAAATATTTAAAAAGTATGTGAAAGAAAAGTTCTAATGAATTTTGATCATTTTTTGACCAACTTTGTACAATTTGTATTATTACAGGTTTACTCACCCTTTCTGTTGATCAACAAGAAACGCTACGCTGGTTTGTATTTCACACGTCCTGAAAAGCATGACAAAATTGATTGCAAAGGATTAGAAACAGTTCGTCGTGATAATTGCCCGCTGGTTTCAAAAGTTTTAAATACATGCTTAGAAAAAATGTTGTTGGAAGGTGATGCTACAAGCGCTCTAGAACATGCTAAAAAAGTAAACAATTTTTTCACGTTGTGTATTTGACTATACTTCTTAATTTTTTTATTATGTGTTAGGAAGTGATTATTTTACGTTTTAAATTTATATTTGAATTTTTCATATAGGTAATATCCGATCTTCTTTGCAATCGGATTGATATCTCAGAACTCATAATCACCAAAGAATTAACTCGATCGAGTAATGTGAGTTTTTCGGATGGAAGTTATTTCTTTCTACTTGCAGGCTTATTGTTCGTATTTGTTCTCAGTGGTAGCTTTCATTGCAAAATTTACTTTGCAGCTCTGTTATTCCAGGCCTATACTGCGAAACAGGCCCATGTGGTTTTAGCGGAAAAAATGCGAGAGCGCGATTCCGGATCAGCACCTCGTCTGGGTGATCGCGTGCCTTATGTTATTGTTGCCAAAGGTCAGAAGGTAGGCTTTAAATCCTTTAATTTTTTACATGATTACTATAATCCAAAGTTAAATTGAATTGAATTGTATTGATCACATCAAGATTAGATCATCTTATTTTAGGTTCCAGCTTATGAAAAGGCCGAAGATCCTATATATGTATTACAAAACAACATCCCCATTGATACAGCCTATTACTTGGAAAATCAATTGGCCAAACCATTGGCTCGTATTTTCGAGCCCATTTTGGGCGATAAAGCTGAATCAATTTTAACAAGTATGCTTGAAGTTGGAAAATTTTATTATTGAACAAAGACACTCAAAAATTTCCAACACTATTGCTCTTGATTTTAAGCTGGTGTGCATACGCTGGTTAGGACAGTAGTGCAATCCAAGAAATCCGGATTGTCACAATTTTTCCAGAAAACTGAACGATGCCTTTCATGCAAGAGCAGTTTACCAAAAGGTGTAAGTGATGCCACATGCATTCATTGCAAACCAAATGAAGGGAAGGTGTATATTACCCACGTAAGTTGCATTTCTTGTGTTTGCCTTTTTAAGCGTAATTTGTAATTCATTGAGTGTTACTAATTTATTAATCAATATGCATCAATGGTTTATGTTCCTCGTTATGTAAGAACCACTTATTCAAGTTAGTTTCTGTCGAACTGCTTTGCAAAAAATATATTTTTTCAAATATTATGTACTACAGTAATATTCAAATACGTGTAATCAATGGTAATGTTGAATATTAAAATTTTCTAACTTTTTTCTTGAGATTTTTTTAAATGGCTGGCTGACTTCATATATAATGACTTCTGTTTTAGTTAGCTCTAATGAATACTATAGAAAATCGCTTTGCACGGTTGTGGACCGAGTGTCAGAATTGTTCTGGGACAATGAACGAGGAAGTGCTTTGCTCTTCGTAAGTTTTAATGATTTGAAAGAAATGAAATTTTTCTTAAAAACAAGGCAAAACTTCAGAAATAAGCGAAGTCGTGATTTTGCTTATGAACTCATCATATTTTATCATTGTTTAAAAAATGTCAGTAGTGCTTCTTGTTTCTTACTTTGGTAGTCTGATAACTAAATATCTCATTACCAACGATATCTCTTAGTTTGTCTTTCTACTTCAAAAAAAACGATTAGAAATAGATTTGTTAATTCTCGATTTGATCTCACCTTTTATTTAGTTTTTGATAACACCATTTTCTTTTTGCAGAAGAGATTGTCCAATCTTTTATATGCGAGAAAAGGTACGATATGACCTTGCAGAACAAATGAAATCCCTCCAACGATTTTACCTCTCAACCTGGTGATAAATTTGAATCAGTTCGGTATCTATAAAATGTTTAACTTTCTGGCTTGTTTGCATTAAGGAATTACATTGCAACCAAAATCGCATAATAATATGCAGGTGGAAGCAAAACAAATTTCTTAATTTTGGCTAAAAAATGAGATATAAATTTTTAGAAAAGCAAAATTTGGAAAATGAACAGGCGGTAATTATGACGGTTCAATGATCTCATTTAATTTAATGATCTATATCTTGTGTATGTCTAAAAAATAAATTTATGACAAGGAGAAATATGATATATGCTGATGAACGAGCTTGCAAAGGAAGAGGTTGAATGAAATTCGATGAATTTTCTTGCTACTAACCTCAGAAGTTCCATCCTTTTTATTTACGTTCGTTACGAGGCTGTCAATAAATAATGAAACAAATACCACATGATTCAAAAAATATTAATACATCAAAAAATGTTCGGGAAAGAAAATTATCGAAACAGCGTTAGCAACGAAATATATGTATTATATGTGAAGAGATATTTGCTTGAGAAGTGAATTTGTCGAGCTATAGTTTGGAGGTTTAGCCTACCACAAGCTTCAACAAATCCAGTTACACCGCTATTGATTGTCCATTGTTCCAATCGTAATGCTCGATACATTCCTATAAACAACTGATATTTTATTCTCTCTTTACAACACACCCAAATTCTCTTCCAGTGTTACATAGCGTTATCTCTTGTTTTATTTACGATAGAAGAGAAATTTTAATCTTTTTTTCTCTCAAAATTTTCTTATCGTTTATAATGGATGTAAACTTTGGTCAGGTTATACCTGTCGAATATTTAAACACCTTTTAAATATTATACTTCGCTATTAGAATGTTTAAGAGTTTAATATTTTGTTAGAGTATTGTTTTAGATTGTTATTTTACCAAAAAAAGAAATATTTTCGTGAACAGCAATGATTAACTTTAGCACGAAAAGCGTGACATCATTTTAAATCTTAAATTATATGATTACCGATAAATTAACCGGTTTTTCATATTCCGTTAAAAATCACCGGTAAGCAAAATTTTTCAATATTATATGTCTCCCGCAAAATTGTATAATTTGAAAATGGTATTAAAAAGTGATATAAAAAATGGTGCAAATGGTATAAAAATTGATTTGGTATCTTTACTAAAATTATAATCATCCTGTTATCTTATAACGATTCATTGATATCATCAGAAAATTGCTATAATTTTCTTCCATTATAAATAATTTATCATATTAAGTAAATAATTTAAATTATCTAATATCTCAGTAATAGCAGTAGTAGTTATTTTTATCTTCTATTACGTTGATACCTTTTATATAATTATTATAATCATTAGTGAATTTTAAGGATTGCTAAAAAAAAAAGTAATAGTGCAAAACAAATCCTCCTAATCTTATCCTTTTATCATCATTCATGTTGTTTCATTTTAAATACTTTGTTGCAATGTTAATATATATTTTTGGCTTTGATCACGTTGCCTGAATCATTCGAATGGTTTGATAGTGGTGATATTTGATAATAATAATAAATTTTGATTTTTATTTTTAGCTTTTGTCACGTTAATACTTATATATAAAAGTATCAACGTGATAAAAGCAAAAAAAAAAGGTATAATCATTAATGAATTTTAAGAATAATTAAAAAATGAGTACCAAATGTAACTTATTATCTGGTACATTACCAGAATTTGTTTATAAATGTGCTGGAATTGATCGAGTTGCAGCTGTATTTGATGATGAAAAAATCACTTTTACATTTGCAGATATAAAAAAAGAAGTAAATTTCTTTTATTATATAATATATAACAAATAAATTATATCTTTCTTTTTCTTTTTCATTTTTCATTTTAATTTCAAGATTTCATAAATTTCAAAATTATCCTTTTAGTGTTAAAATTTAAAGATTGTCCTTTTAATGGAAAATATTTTTGCAGATGGATACATTAGCGGCAGGCTTATTATCAATAGGACTTAGGCCACAAGATCGTATTCTTATTTGTGGCTCAAATACAGCTCATTTTTTTATTTGTCCATTAGCATGTGCAAGAGCTGATTTAATCTTTTCATTAATGAGTCCAAATTTTGCAAATGCTGAGCAACTCAAATATGCACTTGTTAAGGTTAATTTTATTTTCATTTCAAAATTTAAATTTATATTTTCAGCTCTTAATTTAATTAATCCTATAAGTATATCCTATATGTATATCCTATTAGTTAATAAATTCTTATAGCAAAAAATAAATATATTAGCTAATTGTTACAATCAAAAATTAGGTCTATACGAATTTCTAAATTTGAAATACTATAAATAATTTTATTATTAGTTTAATAATTTTTAAATTGTAAATTTAATCATTATAGGGTGAATTTCGTGCTATAATTTGTTTTCCGGCTAATCGTGAAATTGAATTTTTGAGTAATTTATTAAATGAAATATCACCAGAATTAATGTACTCAGTTAAAGGCCGCTTATATAGTAAAGTGGTACCAAGGCTGAATTATGTAATTATGGCTGAAGAAGAACATAAACATGCGTAAGCTTTAATATTTCTTTTTTGCTAAAATTATTTTTTACATTTGAATAAAAGTAACAAATAATGGATATTATTACTTTATCATTATTACTTTAACTTTAATATATTTTTTAATTACTTAAATATTCTTTATGTTAAAATTAATTTTATACATTTGAATAAAAATAATGAATGATATTATATTATTTTATTTTGAAATCAAAATGATATTATTTCACTTATCAAATGATATTATGATATGATATGAATATTATTTTATGATAATATTATGATATGAAATGATATTATTTTGAATTCAAAAATTTTTAATTCAAAATTATTTTGAAAATAGTTATATATGTTGATACATGTATATATATGAATGTAAAATATTGTAGTGGTACATTTACATTATCCGAAATTTATGGACGAAGCAATCGAGAGAAAGTCGATAAATTGCCGAATTTTATGACGTGGGATACGCATAAACTTGCAGCATTGCAATTCACGTCTGTACGTTACATTTATGCTTTATTTTCAAAAAATTATTTTTTTTGAAATAAAAATTTGAATAAAAATTTCTTTTGAAATTTAAATATTTCAAATGCTTCAGTAAAAGCAAGAATGATAAATAGTCATTAAGGATCTGTTACTCAACTGGACTGACTAAACAATGCCTTTGATTAATCAATCATTACACAATAGAGGAAAAAGAAAAGCATAGAATTTAAAGGAATCACTAAAATATTTCAGACAAATTCTAGGATAATTTAAGCCTTAAAATTAAATTCAACAATTTAACATCTTTTTGAAAATATTTAATTTAATCTAAAATTCAGTTCAACACCTAATTATTCATTTCTTTATATTTATATATATATGTATATATAATATATATAACTGAAATGAATAAAATATCTAATAACATAATAAATTTGAAGATGCAAAACGAATTGTTTTGAAAATAAGCAGAAATGAAAAAACTTAATTCCTTGCCGTACGGCAGATAACAAGTGCTCATTTGTATCACGCCAACTCTGTGCGTTACCACTATGGCGAGGATTCAGTGCCACCTGCTTCGCTTGATTTACCATTGGAGGAATCGCTGAAATGCATGA